ACAAGCTGGAGGAGACACTGCTGGCTGGGGGTTTCAAGAAGAGCGAGTGTGATCACAGTTTGTTCCTGCTGCAAGAGAAGGAGCAGTTCCTCATGCTCCTGGTGTATGTGGATGACATCCTTCTCCTCTCTGAGTCATCTGCAATGATTGAGCATGTGGAGGAGATGCTAGAGATGCAGTTCAAGTGCTCGAAAATGGGAGATGTCAAGTATTACCTTGGGATGCATGTGGAGAGAGACCTTGACAAGGGAGTGTTGAGGTTGCACCAGAGGAAGTACTGTGAGGGGCTGGCTGAGAAGTATGGGCTGCAAGATGGAGGAAAACCAGCCACCCCACTACCTTCGGGTTTCACTGTGGAGCCTTGTGCTGATGAGGAGGTGGTGGGTGAGAGTGACAGGAAGCCGTTTCATTCCATGGTGGGGGCACTCAACTATGCGGCTAACCACACGCGGCCTGACATTGCCTTTGCTACATCCAGGCTTGCCAGCGTGGTCTCACGCCCCAGTCATGAGCAGCTAGAAGCGGCCAAGAGGTTGGTCCGCTATGTGAGCGCTACGGCATCAGTGGGCTTGGAGTACAGTGCTGTGCGACAGAGGCTGCAGAGGGGTGCAGCTGATTTGGGCAAGGGGGAGATGCTCCTGACATGCTACACCGACGCTAGCTTCAACTCTGTGAAGGCGGATGGCACCAGCATTGGAGGCTATGTGTGCCTGTTTGGAGGTGGTGCAGTGAGCTGGCGCAGCAAGAAGCAAAACGAGGTGGGGCAGTTTTCGTGTGAGACAGAGTACATGGCTCTGCATCATGGGGCAAAGGAGGTGGTGTGGCTGAGGCGTTTGTTGGAGGAGATCGGAGTGTGCCAGAAGGAGCCAATTGTGATTTTCTATGACAACGAGTCGGCTGTGAAGCTTGCTAAGAACGCTTGCCTTCATGGGCTGACGAAGCACATCAGGCCAAAGTGGCACTGGGTGAGGAGGCTCCTGGACAAGGAGGTGCGGCTGGAGATTGTGAAGACCCATGAGCAGGCGGCAGACATTCTCACCAAGCGCCTGGCTGAAAATGAGCATTGGAAGGGAATGAAACTTGCTGGAATGAGTGTGCATTGAGGGTGCATGCTTGTGCTATGGCATATGGGATGATGGTAGGCAGCCAGAGGGGGAGTTTGTTATGTGATGCTATCATTTGCATTCACGTCTGTCTGCCTCCCATCATATGTTCGTGTGTTGCATGCGTGGTGTGAGCGTGTGTAAGAATGTGTGTTTGGTGTTGTTTTGGTTTTTCTTGAGTGTGTGTGAATGTTATTTGGCTTGAGCAGATATCTGAAGTGACTCCTCTGCTCAAGAGCTTTCCGACGAACCAAGTATCGCTTCAATCGAAGCACGAACAAGAAAGTTACGAACGTTGGAAGTTCGTATGCTTTTTATATTTGGTTGTGGTGATTATGGGAAGTTGCGGTGTTGACTCCATAAGGAGTACACACTCTTGGGGGTTGGGAAATTCGTCAGCATTCACGTCTGTCTGCCTCCCATCATATGTTCAGATGACATTCAGAGACAGACTGTCTCAGATGAGGAGATCTCTGGGGTGACTGAGGATGGGGGAGAACCTGAGGTGGAGGAGCAACAGCAGCAGCAGCAGCAAGATGCTCCACCACGTGCCCAACGTCCGCTTCACCGTCCTAGGAGGGATGTGCGCCCTCCTAATAGGCTGACCTATCCTAGTTTTGGAACGCCAAAGGTGGTACGGGCTGGGAGTGTGGCTGAGCAGTGTGATGAGGATGAGATAGCACACTGCTACTGGGCAGCCGTCCCTGAGCCCAAGACGCTAGCTGAGGCCTTGAGTGGGCCCGATGCTGAGAAGTGGAAGCAGAGTGTGAAGGAGGAGTATGACTCTCTGCTGGAGAATGAAACGTGGGAGCTGTGTGAGCTGCCTCCTGGGAAGAAGGCCATTTCTTCCAAGCTGATCTTCAGGCACAAGTACGGACCTGATGGGGAGCTGGCCCGCTACAAGTCAAGGCTTGTGGCTAAGGGGTTCCAGCAGACAAAGGGGAAGGACTTTGACGAGATCTTTACTCCTGTGGGGAAAGGGACTACACTAAGGGTGATGTTGGGAATGGCTGCAAACCGTGGATGGAGGATCAAGCAGATGGACATCACAACTGCTTTCCTCAATGGGATCATCCTAGAGGAGCTGTACATGCTGCAGCCTGAGGGGTTGGATGATGGGAGCGGCAGGGTGTGCAGGCTCAAGAAGGCCATCTATGGCCTGAAGCAGGCTCCTCGCGCATGGTACCACAAGCTGGAGGAGACACTGCTGGCTGGGGGTTTCAAGAAGAGCGAGTGTGATCACAGTTTGTTCCTGCTGCAAGAGAAGGAGCAGTTCCTCATGCTCCTGGTGTATGTGGATGACATCCTTCTCCTCTCTGAGTCATCTGCAATGATTGAGCATGTGGAGGAGATGCTAGAGATGCAGTTCAAGTGCTCGAAAATGGGAGATGTCAAGTATTACCTTGGGATGCATGTGGAGAGAGACCTTGACAGGGGAGTGTTGAGGTTGCACCAGAGGAAGTACTGTGAGGGGCTGGCTGAGAAGTATGGGCTGCAAGATGGAGGAAAACCAGCCACCCCACTACCTTCGGGTTTCACTGTGGAGCCTTGTGCTGATGAGGAGGTGGTGGGTGAGAGTGACAGGAAGCTGTTTCATTCCATGGTGGGGGCACTCAACTATGCGGCTAACCACACGCGGCCTGACATTGCCTTTGCTACATCCAGGCTTGCCAGCGTGGTCTCACGCCCCAGTCATGAGCAGCTAGAAGCGGCCAAGAGGTTGGTCCGCTATGTGAGTGCTACAGCATCTGTGGGTTTGGAGTACAGTGCTGTGCGACAGAGGCTGCAGAGGGGTGCAGCTGATTTGAGCAAGGGGGAGATGCTCTTGCCTGCTACACCGATGCTAGCTTCAACTCTGTAAAGGCGGATGGCACCAGCATTGGAGGCTATGTGTGCCTGTTTGGAGGTGGTGCAGTGAGCTGGCGTAGCAAGAAGCAGAACGAGGTGGGGCTGTCCTCGTGTGAGACAAAGTACATGGCCCTGCATCATGGGGCTAAGGAGGTGGTATGGCTGAGGCGTTTGTTGGAGGAGATCGGAGTGTGCTAGAAGGAGCCGACTGTGATTCTTTGTGACAATGAGTCGGCTGTGAAGCTTGCAAAGAATGCTTGCCTTCATGGCCTGACAAAGCACATCAGGCCAAAGTGGCACTGGGTGAGGAGGCTCCTGGACAAGGAGGTGCGGCTGGAGATTGTGAAGACCCATCAGCAGGCGGCAGACATTCTCACCAAGCGCCTAGCTGAAAACGAGCATTGGAAGGGGATGAAACTTGCTGGAATGAGTGTGCATTGAGGGTGCATGCTTGTGCTATGGCATATGGGTTGATGGTAGGCAGCCAGAGGGGGAGTTTGTTATGTGATGCTATCATTTGCATTCACGTCTGTCTGCCTCCCATCATATGTTTGTGTGTTGCATGCGTGGTGTGAGCGTGTGCAAGAATTTGTGTTTGGTGTTGTTTGGATTTCTGAGTGTTTGTGAATGTTATTTGGCTTGAGCAGATATCTGAATTGACTCCTCTGCTCAAGAGCTTCCCGACGAACCGAGAATCGCTGCGATCGAAGCAAGAACGAGAAAGATATGATCGTTCGAAGTTTTGATTGAGATGCGGCGACTATAGGAATTTGCGGGTTGACTCAATATGGGGTACAGACTTTTGGGGGTTGGGAAATTCGTCACCATCACTGTAGATGATGCCAAGTGGTTGGGAGAAGCCAAACCAGGTTGGCAAGTGTGGCCAAGTTGGGTGAGGTGGATGGCATGAGTTGGGAAAGTGACAAATGTCAAAGTTGGGGTGCCTATAGAGAGGGGAATTGTGTGGAATGGGGTTTCCTTGGTTGGGGACTCTCTTGGGACCTTCCCTCTCGTCCTCCTCATCCCCTCCTACCTGGTTCTATTGCTACTCTAACTTTCTTGTGTGAACTTGTGAGATAATTGTGATTGAGTTACGTTTTCTATGGCAGCATACCCCCTAGTGCGCCGAAGTTCATAACTCGAGTTATACTCCATATTTTTATACTACTCAAATTGGGAAAGATAGCCACGGTCAAGGGCTACAACATACTCGAGTTTGAGAGACTTCTAACAGTGCGTTAATCGTCGAGAACGTTTCTTGTGAAGACGACTTTTCTGTCCAGAATTGTAGTTGACGATTTTGAGATATTTCAGCCCCTAATCTTCATAGACTCCGTCCTTAGTCTCTAACAGTTTGTTGTACCGAGCATGCTGCAGATTGCAGGGTTCGGCGTTTAAATTGATTGGTAGAGCGGCCTTGAAGCTGCTGCCTTGATAAACCTCCTCATGTCACTCGCGCTCCTTATATTGTCGATGTTTCTTATCTCGAACCTGCAGCATCGCACTGTTGATGTGAGGTTAAGTGGGAGCACAGCCTGGCCTCCGTTGCCCCATGAGCCGCCTTTTGAGGTGCCTGAAAAGCTCCTTGCGTTGATGGTGCTGCGTGCATCGATTGCCTCTGCATCTGCGATGTTTATTGTCTCAATCCTGTGGGGCACAGCACCCTGGCCTGTGTGGCCCCATCAGCCATTGCTGCTGCTCTAGATGAGTTGTCGGTCAAGAGTGGCATGTGTGCGATTTAGAGCTATGCTGCTGCTGGTGTTTGTGTGACGACAGTATGGCGCTTGCGTTTGCTTAAAGTGCTGGGAGGGTGGTGGTGGTGGTGCTGCTGCTGCTACTGCACCAGTTCCACTTTCTCCTACACTTCCTCAGGCGTATCAGCACGCAGAGGAGGGAAGTACTGCTCGCTGAATTTCATGTCATTCCACATGTAACCCGCACTGCTTGTACCAAGTTCTGTCCAGCATGACTTGTAGCTTGTGCCACAACCGGTTGACATTAAGTTGCTCCAGGTAAGTAGTTCCTTTGAGGCATCCGCACTCTCAAGGACTATACCAGCAAAGCCTTGGGCGCAGGTTTGGTCACAGGCTTGGGCACAGGCCTGGGTAGTGGCAAGCAATGGTGCATCGATGAGAGAGGCCAGGCGCTTTTGTACATGCGCGTGCATACCAAAGGTGGTGGTTGGTAGAGGTTGGGAGGCACACATGGTTGGATCACGGAGAACAGAAGAGGGAGCTTCAGACAGAGTGGGAGAGATATTGGGAGGGAGAGTGGCAGGGAGAGTGTCAAGGAGAGTGGAAGTGAGAGTGGTAGCAGCAGAGAGAGTGGGAGGAAGAGTGATTGGGAGAGTGTCAAGGAGATTGGTAGGGAGAGTGGCAGGGAGAGTGGTAGGGAGAGTGGCAGGGAGAGTGGTAAGGAGAGTGGCAGGGAGAGTGGCAGGAAGATTCGCAGAGAATGTCTCGAGGATGGCTAAGGCAGGTCGTGTTACACCTGTGTTGTTGCTTTGCATGAAGGCATCAGTCTGCGACAGCAGCAACTCTGTCACTTGATCCATCTACTTCGACATCTGGTCTTGTCGTTGTTGTTGCTGTTGTTGTTGCTGCTCTTGCTGTCGTTGTTATTGTTGCTCCTGCTGCCATTGTAGCTGCCGCAGTCACTCCAACAGTATCACATCCAGCTAGGTGTAAAACCCAGCAGCATCAGATACAGCACAGCAGTCAGTCAAAGCAGTAGCCAGCACAACCCCCATGGGTGCTGCCACCCTCGCCTCTGAAGGGTCATGCGCCGGCCCTCCCTCCCCATTGCAATGCAATTCAAGACAGAAATTCTCCCCATTGGCCACCACCAAACCACCAATGATCTGCTCCTCCTTGGCTGACTGCTTCTCTTGGCAGGGAGAGTGGATAAGGGCTACTGTGGCCCAATCGGCATAATCAGCAATACCACCATCAGTGGCAGCAGACGCAGCAGCACCAGCAGCACCATCAGCACCAGCACCACCACCATCACCATCACCAGTAGTAGCAGCAACAGCGAGGAAGTGGTAGCAGTAGCAGCACTCACTTCCGGGCTCTCATTCTGCAGGGCGTTCAGAGCACCACAAGAATCAGCAGCCAGGGCACCCAGAGTTGCACCAGAATCCACCAAGGTGTTCAGACTGGTACCGGATTCAACAGGTCAAACGGCATTGGACGCTTTGAATCCAACCCCACCGTGTGAAGCCGCAATGTTGATGGAGCGGGTTAAAGGGAAGATGTGGCAATTGGCCAGACGGTGGATGGGCAAGGGGTAGTTGTGGAGGCAGTTGCGGTAGGCGAATTGAATGTCGTCGGGGGAGATTGGTTCGTTGTCGTGACAGTTGATGTCAGCGGTCTTCTTGGCCAAGCAGCGCTGCTTGGCCTTGAAGCGGCCACACCTGTAGTAGCACCTGGTGATGCGGGAGGCGGGAGAGGGGGTTGGGGTGGAGAAAGAGATTATGAATTGTATAGCACTTGTAGTAGCACCTATGAATTCTGCAAATATGATAAGAACCTCAAGTCACTGAAGAAGATGGACATGAGAAAGGTGAATCAAGGAGTACAAGCATTTCAATAGAAACCAGCAGTGGAAATCAGCGAGGCTAACCTGGTGGCGTTGGAGCGCTGCACTTGCTTCTAGCCGTACTTGAGCCAGCTGTGCCCATCGGCGCCCACCACCCACGCCACCATCTTCTCCAACTCTGGTGGCCCCCACTCCTGCTCCCACACCTCACGGTCGGCCGACTCATTCTCGGACTCAGAGACTCTCCGCTGAGGACTTTCATTCTCATTCTCGGGCCGGAACCAGCGCCACTCCTGCAAAGGAATCTTCAAGACTCGCCGAATAGTGGTAATTTCCATGACGCAGAGCCGTAGTGGTCGCAGTGTAGTAGGACACGCAAAAGTAGCAGCACTAGTCTTACTAGCAATATCTGGTAGGAATGAGGTTGCAAAGATTGTCAACAGAATCCGCGGACAAACCTGACCATCCAGCACAGAGTAGCACTTTTGATCCTTGATCGGAATGTATTACGATAGACGTACTACACTTGCCGCACACTCAACTGTCCATTTTGAACATCCCTACACGCATTCTACACTCGCAATAGTAGAACGTCATGGGCACACCTTACAAGCCGACGACAAAACATAGATACTGGATATTTTTAGCGCGAAAGAGTTAACCCGGTTCTACATGGAAAACTTTAAACGCTACCCAAGAAACTGGGAATTGCAGTTGCGGTGGTAACCCTGGTTCTGCTTTGAGTTCCAATTTGCCCCTACATAACTGCAGACCAATTTACGAGCAAAGTGACGCTTCAAAAAGTGGGGTGAAAGGTGTACAACAAAACCCAACGGGGGTGCACACCCTTGCTCTCCTATCTGCACCCCTATACCATCCACTCCTTCCCGTGTCCTTCCCCCCATGCGCCGATCCATTAGCGCCATGCCATAGCCACACTCAACGTTCTCAATGAGAAGGGCCTTGCCATATCCACACCCCTACCCTTGTCTTTCCTCCAATCCCTCCTTCCCCCCATGCCTCCTCCCACCAGCGCCATGCCATAGCCATGCTCAAACTGCTCAACGAGGAGGGATATGCCATGTCCATAGTGTCAAATTGTAAATATGATCTCTAGGCTATAGTGGGGCATGCATTATGGGGTACATAACTATAGGGTTTCCTAATTGTATCTCACTTCTGCATAGTTCAATCATTTTCTCGCTAGCCTATCTTCTTGACATGGAATCAAATATAGGTTAGGTCCGTACCCTACACTACCCCGCGTGCCACCGCGCTGCCCTGCCCCATGCGCCACCGTGCCCTGCCCCGTGCGCCTCCACGTTGCTGCCCTGCACTGCGCGCCGCAGCGCTCCCCTGCCCTGCCCACCGCCGCGTTGCCCTGCCAACCACGCCGCTGTGCTGCCCTGCCACATACGCCACCGCGCTGCCCTGCCACGCGCGCAGAGGCAACCACGGGTGCTTACTCCTCTCAGTGGCAGACATCCATGGATGCAGAGATGGCATCCTGGAAGTCCACAGGCACCTACGTCGACCCAGTTCCCCCTCCTAGGGCAAACATAGTCGATGGCATGTGGATTTTCAGGGTGAAGCAACCGCCGGGTTTCCCACCTGTCTTCAAGGTGCATTATGTTGCATGAGGCTTCAGTCAGCGTCAGAGGGTCGAATTCTTCCAGACCTTCTCCCCCACCCTGAAGATGACCACTCTTCGGGTGCTACTGCACATTGCAGCACAGCGTGACTACGAGCTGCACTCACTCGACTTCCCCACAGCTTTCTTGCAGGGCAGCCTTCACGAAGAGATCTGGCTGCGCCGCCCACCTGGCTTCACTAGGTCGTTTCCTGAAGGTACCCAGTGGGGCCTCCGGCAGCCAGTCTACGGTCTCCGTCAGGCGCCCTGCGAGTGGCACGACACATTGAGAACAACACTTGCGGCTCATAATTTTGCTCCTTCGACTACTGACCCGTCGCTGTTTCTGCGCACCGACCATTCGTTGCTGTCGTTTTACATCCTCCTATACGTCGACGACTTGGTCTTTGCCATTGCAGACAGTGAGGCACTGGCCCTTGTGAAGGCGGAACTGCAGAAGAGATGCACCTGCACTGACTTGGGTGAGCTGCGCAGCTATCTTGGCTTGCAGATCACCCGGGACAGAGCAGCGCGCACCATCACTCTAACTCACTCACACATGGTGCAGCAGCTCCTTCAGCGCTTCCACTTTCAGTTCTCCTTGCCACAATCCACTCCTCTACGTACGAACCACTCGCTCTTAGCTCCACCTTTGGACGAGTCCGTAGAGCCGAGTGGTCCGTATCTAGAGCTTGTGGGCTACCTCATGTACTTGATGACGTTCAGTCGACCTGACCTCGCGTACCCTCTTAGCATCCTGGCGCGCTACGTTGCGCCCGGGAGACACCGGCCTAAGCACTACCGGGCTGCTACGAGGGTAGTGTGCTTCTTGTGCAGTACATCATGCGTGGGGCTTTTTCTTGAAGCACGGGGTCGAGTTGTGCTGACAAGGCACTCAGATGCTTCTTGGGCTGACCAGGAGAATCAGCGGTCGTCACAGGGTTACACTTTCAGTCTCGGCACTAATTCTGTCTCGTAGAGGTCCACTCGCTCTTCTTCTGTGCTTAGCTCCAGCTGCGAGGCCGAGATCTACGTTGTGGCTATGGCTGCACAGGAGACCTGCTTGTTGACCGACTTGGGTGAGCGACCTCGTTCTCCTCCAGTTCGTACGTCGACAACAAGGCCATGATTGCCTTGTGTCGGGAGTAGAGATTGGAGCACAGAATGAAGCACATTGCTATTCGTTAATTTCTCGCATGAGAGCTACAACAGCGTGGCCGGCTTCGCCTTGCTTACGTGGCCTTGCAGGCCAACACTGCTGATATATTCACCAAGGCCCTAGGGTCTGGTGATCATCAGCGCTTCTGTACTGCTCTACGCCTTGTGCCTACTCTGCCTCACTTACTTGTCTCTTGAGTTTCCCTTGTACTTGCCTTATATATATCTGCATGCATTCTCTTGCTAGGTTATGACCAGTGTACCACTTTTGTTATTATAACGCGGTATGTGGACTGGCCTTGTGGCCGCTTGCTTGTCCTCGTTCTATGTGGTGATTTGAGATCCGCCCCGAGATTGCTTTGGTGCTTCTTTTGACTGGTCTTGTGACCGATTGTTGTCCCCCACTTAGCCTATGGGGGTGTGTTAAAGTGAAAACATGATCTCTAGGCTATAGTGGGGCATGCACTATGGGGTACATAACTTGAGGTTTTCCTATTTGTGTCTCACTTCTTCCTAGTTCAATAATTTTCTTGCTGGCCTATCTTCTTGACACACACCGATCTATCTCTTTCCTTCCTCCTATTTCCTCTTCCTCCCTCTCCCCTCTCCCCACCAGCGCCATGCCATAGCGTCACTCAATGAGGAGGGCCACGCCTTACCTACACGCCCCTACCCCTGTCCTCCCTCTCCCCTGCTCCCACCAGCGCCACGCCATAGCGACGCTCAACGTGCTCGACGAGGAGGGCAGATCTGTTGCTGCCGAGCTGCTGCTGCCCTCCGCCTGACCTCACGCCTTCGTCCTCTCCGCACTACCTCCATCTCCTCAGCTTAGCACCCACACCCTCCTCATTATGATGTGTGCTATCATAATGGATGGTGCGTGCATTACGTTGATGATGTGGATGGATGTGAAGTGTGCCTCTGCTCTGCAGTTCATGTTACAGCTGTCTGTGGTAAATTGTATGCAGAGCTGGCTGTGTGCACTACAGAAACAACTCTACAATAATCTGTAACTGTGCAAGCTAGGTACATTCCAGACTAACTAACTGTTATAGTCACAATAGCCTTGAATGTGCCTAAAACGAAAGATAGAGTGCACAGACGGATTTCTGCACAGCGGCTTCAAACGTTGATAGCGTTCTGCTCACAGCTGCAAATTACTTGATTCAAATTGGATCTGGAGCGTCTTGACGTCGCCTACAATAAGCAATTTAGATTGCACGATTTCATAAAGAATTGACGACACAGCGTCGGTTTGAACGAACGGTAGGAAGAGTTACGAGTTGGGAATGACTCCCAGCTCCTACAAACCCCAAGAGCCGAGGTACAGTGATGTGGAACAGTGCCACACTGTCCCCAACCACGAAGGGTCTCGAAACTACCCTCCACAAGGGCCTACACCAAGAGAAATGTTACACTACACAAAGTAATGCAACTATTCTCACTATCTTAAAGTTTACCTTTTTGGAGAGTTTCGAAATCACTTGATTCTTGAAACCAAGGCTCTGGTTCTTCAAGGTAAATTCTTCCTTGAGTTCTTGGAAGTCTGCTGCGCACACCTGCGACACGCCAAACGTTCCACACACGACAAAAATAGAAAACCGCACACGACACGCAAACAACGACGTCGCACGCAACTAGCGATAACTCGCTATTGACTCGACACACACATTCAAAATCATGCCTCATCGTTCACACACTATTGTAAGCATGAAATATATATTATTTCATGCCCTCATACCATTCCATGCACACACGCATGCACGCACACGGACAACAAGCCGAATGCAAACCGTAGGGTTGCACCAACAAACTCCCCCTCGGATTGTTGGCCTTAGGATCTTGCTCTCTCAGTTCAGAGCCATCCCAGCCAGCTTGCAACACTTCCAATGCTGCTGCTCCACCAACCTCTTGGTCATCATGTCAGCTGGCTGCCTTGTCGTCTTCACATAGTGCAACTCAACTTCACCCGCGGCCACCATGCTCCTCGTCCAATGCCACTTCACCCTCATGTGCTTGGTGAGTCCATGCAACACAGGGTTCTTAGCAAGAGCAATGGCACCCTGGCTGTCACAGTAGAGTGGGGTAGGTCCTTGCTGCTCCTCCCCCAATTCAGCCAACAAACGCCGCTGCCACACAATCTCTCGTACGGCACGGAAGAGTGCCATATACTCGGACTCCACCGAGCTCAATGCTTGATCCACCTGCTTCTTGCTCTCCCAAGCAGTTGGGCCTCCACCAACACAGCAAATGAACCATCCAACACTTGTCATGTCCTCTGGTTCTGATGCAAAAGAAGCATCCGAGAATGCGGTGAGGAACAAACGCCCGGGTTCAACACCATCCGCACCCTTTTGGCGCCTTTGCGCCGCCGCCGAGTATTGCAGCCCAACGGTCGGTGTTTGGCCAAGATACTTGGCCACTCTCATTCCAGCTGCTACCTGCTCCTCATTAGGGCATTGAACAACCCTAGCCAACTGTCCGGTAGCAAACGCGACGTCCGGTCGGGTGTTTACCGCCGCGTACATGAGGCTGCCCACCAACGAGTGA